CCCTTCCTCCGGTCGCTGCCTCTGCCCCCCGCCCCGTGGGCTTCTGCCCTGGTTCCTTCACACCAGCTCTGATGTCGCTCTGCAGCCCTCACCCATCCTCTGGCCCTGTCTGGAAGAAACTGCCGTGGCTCCCCTTTACTTACTGAGCTGAGTTCAAACTCCGCCTCTTGCGCTGTTCGGGCTCTTCCACTGAGCCCAGCAACCAGACCTCGCTGTGTAGACCGGGGTTCTAGACTCAGATCGTTCCATTAACCAGTGGCTGACGCCTACAAGTCAGGGAGACTCCAGAGCCTCGGTTTCTCCACTAGGAAATCCTGAAGTTGGCTAAGGCTCTTTCCAACTCTATAAAGCATTTACATGCCCTCCACCCCAACCTCCTCCACTTCTTGACTTTGGAGATGCGTCTTCCCCTGCAGCAGTAGGTCAGCGGCTTCTCCCAGTGCATCAAGCCAGGGCAGCTACCAGAGCCAGGCCCTCATCTGAGAAAGCACTCAGGCAGAAACAGCACTTGCCCGACCAAACCTTGACCAAGCACAGACATGGAGGCACCTTGCTAGGAAAAGCCCAGGCCTCAGGCCATGTGTAAAAGGACATAGATGACCCTGAGGGTCCTTCCATCCCTGGCAGTGATTCTGCAGCCTGCCTTGAAGAGGAGAAAACCTTTATTTTCATCCACCCAGCCCTGGTCCCGTCCCGCTGGGGCCCTCACCCCAACCCCCTCTGCTAGCCCCCCTCCCGGCCCCATCTGAGCCATTTCTCACCAGCAATGACCCGCGCTCCTGCTTTTCCTGTTCCTTCATCAAAATTCATCTGTCCCGTGTTTCATCACCTCGCCTTGCTCTCTGCTAACATGAAAACAGACGATGAATTGGTGTTGGCAGATTAATGTTACTCCAGCTAGGTAACAAATCTGCATTGAACAAGGACATGCCGACCGTGCCTCGGTGCAGAGGAGTGGCGAATGGTGGCGGGAGACGGGCATCATGGCAGGCTGGCCCAGGAGCTATCTGAGGGCAGGGGTCTCTGCCCGGCCCACACCGGCCACACACCCAGGCACTAATTTAAACCCTGATGTCAAGGTGAACGCCATATCTACACTCAGAAATGAAATGGCCCTTGCAATTGTGTGTCTCTCGTGTAAACTCGGGGCGGAGGGGGGGCACTCATGCTTTTGGCACTTTAGGCCAGAGGTGGAGGAGAGGCACAGCCATGTCTGGTTGGGCTCAGAAGGCAGGAGTGGGTCTTCTCCATCCCCTCTGGGCCTTGCTCTCTAGCACGTGGGCTTTGAGGTAGGCAGGAGAAGGTGCCCGCTGCCATTTGCCAGCAGGCTGTGGCCAGGCAGCGAGGTGTGGGGTAGACAGTAGAAGATAACTGCGAGCCAGACCAGCCGGCCGCCTCCTTTCAGACCGTTCCTGTCTTGTCAGCCTCTTGTCTACAGTAAAGATCAGGGTAAATGGTCCTGCGTGCTGTCTGTTGTAGATATTAGGAGGAAGTTTGTGAATCCTTAGTCATGCAACCTCGGGTACGCTCTCTTCGTGCCTCAGTTTCCTTGGCCGTCAGTCGGGCTCTTTAGAACCTGCCTCCCAGGGGGACATGAAAATGCACCGGCTGGTGCATGTCAGCACCCCGCTGCCTGGCGCCCGTGAGCCCTCGCATTCGGCGGTTATGATTTTTCCTGCTACTGTCTCCCTGTGTGGATGCTGTCAGTGCCCCACCCTTTCCCTGGGCATGCACCTCTGCAGGCCAAAAGGCAGATTACGGCAGAAGATACATGCAACACTGCCTGAGGCTTTGTTTCTGGCTGTGGGAATATGCTCAAACATGCAAGAGCAAGACAGAAGTGTCAGGGCCCTAATGCCCCGGAAACAGCCCTCAAGGAACGGACAGATACCCATTTCCCTCTCCCTCGGGTGGGATGCTCCCACACGTTCCACATCGGCTCCCAGAGTTCCACAGTGAGACTGTGCTCCAGCTGCCCGTGGTGGTGGCCGGCTCTGCGGCACACCCCGTGCTGGCTTTCTTCCCCTCCTCGCTTCATCCCCTACTCTTCTGTCCACACTCCCAGGGTCACCTCCAAAATAAACTACGGGCACTTGCATCCTTGTCTGAGAACCTACTTCCGGGGAACCCAAGCCAACACCCTGCCCTCCAGGCCAGAGGTTCTCAGCCCAGACTCAGCAGAATCCCCTGCAGAACCTAACAGAACAGAATCTCCCTACCTTGATTCCATACCAAAGATGGGGCCTGGGTACATTTGTTTTCTTAATGCCATGGGTTATGCCAACATAACTGGCTGGGATGGGGAACCATGGTTCTAGATAAATAGCCACGGCCTTCTAAGAAGGAACCAGAGCCACCCTAAGCAAACTAGAAGAGATTAGAGGAGCAGGAATTGGGGGGCACAGGTCGTACCAGATCCCAAAAACATCCCCTTTTCACTCTTTCTCTCTTGAGGCTACAAACAGAACCACAGGCTAGCCCATCGTGGGCGTCAGGGCGTAGACTGCATCAGCCTGGGCACTCGGAATATAGTGCTTCCTGGCTCTCCCCCGCTGCCCTCCACATGGGCCTGAGGCCTGGCTGGAGGGTCAGAAGCCCGGAGCGGCAGGAGGCCCTGGGGGGCTGGAGGGCCTCTGTCCAGAAACGGTGAGCAAGACTCTGGGGAAGGGATTTGGGGGAAGTGGGTGATTCATACTGTGCAGGGGTATCGTACTCAAGATCCCTAGGGGTAGGCCAGGCAAAGAAGGGAAGGAGCTCTAGTCATCCCCTAGGCCCACGATAACAAACTAGCATGTCAGGGGGGCTTAAAATAAGAGGAATCCATTCTCTCAAGGTTCTGGCAGCCAGAAGTCCTAAATCAAGGGTTTGGCAGAGTCAGTTCCTTGTGGAGGCCCTGAGGGAGAGTCTGGCCCATGCCTCTCTGCTGGCGTCCAGTGGGGGCCAGAGATCCTTGGCATTCCTTGACTGGCAGCTGCACTCCCCAGTCTCTCCTCCATCATCACAAGGCCTTCTCTCCATGTGTGTCTCTCTGTGTCCTCTCCTCTTCTTAGAAGGACACCAGTCTTTGGATTAGGGCCCACCCTACTCCAGTATGACCTCAACTTAACGAATTACGTTCTGCACAGATCCTCTTTCCAAACAAGATTATGTTCCGAGGTTCCAGGTGAACCTGAATTTGGGGCGGGGGGCCCGCTGTTTGGCCTACTACAGGGACCTAGTGGGAAGCGGCCACAGTGGTTAGGCAGTGCTAAGGACCAGAGCTCCCCAAAGGGGACATGCACCGTTGCTTTGTGTGGGCCCAGTTATTTCAAGAGTCAGAAATCTGGACTTCCCATGTGCAATCGCATAATTGTAAAATGCGGACTCAATATTTTTAGAACATTATGCAAGACCAGTAAAATTCACTGGAGGTCCGCCATCTGGGTCCCCTGGGGTGTCAGCAGAGGGCAAAGCAGGGAGCCCACCAGCCCTGCCCAGCCAGCCAGTCCAGCTTCTCCGGGGCCAGCCCCCACTGCAATGTCCCTCGCTGCCCCCGGAGGAAGGTCAACACTCCTGGGTGCACTCAAGGGTTCCCCGCAGGCCCCCTCCCCCCGTCGCTGGCCCCCCGGAAGCCTCTTGGGCATCAGAGCCTTGACTGCCACCTCCACCTTCTCAAGGTTCCAAGGATGCTTCTGAAGCTCCCAGACAGGGCCTGGGCTGGAAGAGGAAAGAAGGAAACAAACAGTTTACTACGGTGTTTGAAATCCTCACTTAATGCACCTCGACTGCAGCCGCAGACAGCACATTAAGAGGCAATAGGCCATTGTCCTTCGCCGGAGTGCGGAGCATTAATAATGTCATAACAGCATTTCCTGACACTGTGCACAAATCATCAAGAGCCTCACCGGGTGAGCAGCCCCACACAGACGCCAGCCGCCTGGAGCCATGCAAGGAAGCCGAGGAGTGGGGAAGAGCTCTTTCTCCAATGCATATTTCATGCTTTCTGTTTCACAACATTTAGGCTAATCCTCTGATTGAAAAGCAGCGTCTGGGATTTATTTTTATTTATGCCAGAAGGCCATTCTGCCACACAGCTTGTGGGATCTGGAAGCAGAGCTATAGGACTTTCCCTGTTCTGCAGGGAAGTTAGCTGCTATGCCTGCGTCTGCGTCTGTGGTTTGCGCGCGTGTCTGCGCGCGCCCATGGGGGCTGGCAGGCAGAGAAGCCGGGGACAGATGAGACAGGGGACCCTCCCACGGGGGCCCCATCCCAGCACTGGAGACACAGGTGAGCCCTTCATTGAACATAATCATGAGATCTCATTTACTGAACACCTACTATGTGCCAGGAAATGACTCAGGGATTTTGAATGTGTTACCATGTTTACGCCACTATTTTACTTAAATTTGTTTCACAGGGCAACTTGAAAAAACAATGAGCCCCTTTCTTTCTGGACAGTTCCTTCTGCACCACAAATCCGTGGAGCAGCCATGTGGGGTCAGCAGGATCACAGTCTTCCAAAGATGGTCACATCCTGATCCC